ATGGATTTGAGAATATTCACAGTAACTGACAGAGGAATCAGGGCTTCTGGCCTGAGGCAGAAAACAGACAGTAAAACTATACCCAAAGGACTCCAGAACATGGTCCATAGCTTTTATAAAGGAAAATCTAGTGCTATCCCATCAATAACATTACAACATTTAAATTGCAATTAAATGTTCTTTGTCTTAATGAACCAGTCCTCACAGAGTAAGTGTTAAAATCCACAAGTACAATCTTTGGGGGAAGATATAGAGAAGAATATTCAATGTCTCTAGAGGGAGAAACAAGCCACCAAATTTAGGAGTCTACTTAATGAGGCTGGGAGTTGAATGTGTCATTAGTGCCAAGCAAATATACTTTTTCATAGAGAATTTTACATCTAAATTTGAACCTAAATAACTAGAAGAGCTTGTGTTTTTATTAAATAACTCGGAAAATACATACAATGTGAAAAGTAAATTGTTCTAGAGAAAGAAAAATTAAGTTGGCTTAACTCTTGTTGAAGCACAAGCAGTGGAAAATGTGTGTGACAAAGGAGCAGACCTTAGAGCTACCAGCTTGGCTGTAATGACAGTACAAAACAGCACAACAGAGAATCTGCCCATGACTTTAAAAAAGTATTACTAAGAAGCTTAATGGTAACCATTTTCTTTTACTTCCTCCCCCCAGAAAGAACTCTAACATTTATCTGTTAGAGAATTCTATCAGGGACGGTTCTTTGTGTTACAAAATCAGTCACTTGTACATAAGTAAAAAAGGAAATCAGTTTCCTTTGGCAATTTTCATTTCTAGATTACAAGCCACATTCTTTCTTCTATGTAACATACACTAAACCACCTACTGAACTCAGAATGAGAATTTAATTTGAACCTCAGATGTTGTTAGATTGCTTTGTAAGTGTTAAAGCAAGCTTTATATTAAAAGTGGGGGCTTTTGATATCTTTATATATTTCCTGATACAATGAAACAGATACTTAAAGGTAATGTTGTGTTGCCATAGAGAACTGGCTTGTCTTATTCTGATGATATATTCTTTATAAAAATAATTATTTTTAAAAAGTATTATTTCTATACAGACAATATGTTAACAGTATCAGTTGTGTTGTTTCTTCATCATTTCCATTGGCTGAAGCAGATGTATTTTAGCAAAACTAAAGATCAGATTTAATCAGCAGTGAAAATGAAATTCTGGGCTATTTGTAAGTGTGGATATCACTCGAATCAGGCTCTGCTATTATTTATACCAGATTTTTTAAATATTTTTTTTTGCTGGCAGTGTAATTAATTTCTGATTTTCATCAGTCTCAAGAGCAAGCCAATTCCCAGCATGACAACTAAGAAAATGAATAGCAGAACATTTCATCAGATGGGCAGACTCTATGAAGGAGCTAGATGTGCAACCAGGAATAATCATTACAACAAAATCCTTTGCATAATTGCAAATTGCTGGAAGCTATTGGAAGCCATTGTAATGTGAAAATATACACTTGTTGATTGCTAATTATATGGAGACAATGTCAAAGTCAAATACATTACAACATAATACTGACAGTACAAAAGATACTTTGAATACCTCAGAATGTAATATCTCAAATTAAGGAAGAAAAAATGTACTACAGTGAAAATATTTTGGCATAGTCATTGCAGAACTGGCAAATTAAGGTCATAGGAAATTTATATTTCTGCTAAATAGTACAGCAGTTGTGCAAAATATTTTTAAAAATATCATTTTTTAGGTCCCAGTTCTGTAGAGGACTTGCATGACTACTTGGCTTTACTATGTGACCATCCTAGAGGCAGCCTCATCCATTTCTACAGGAAGTGTCTTACGGCTTGCAGCATGTCTTTTGTCCAGCCATTTCTACTGTTCCTTTTTAACAGAAAGATTTACAACAGAGCAAAAAATTCATTTGACCAGAAAAATTTGCCATGAGAACTATTTTTTTTCCTTTATATATATATATATGTAGGGAAGGGCTTTTTGGTGGATAAATCATTAAGGATCAGTAATAAAATACATTAATCACAAAAAAAAATATAATTACCTGTATGACCATGCGTGGCCTATGAGTAATGTCTGAGACAACCTCTACAGGCAGCATTTATACACTGCGGGTCCCAGCAAGACTTCCCCACCTCCAGTTCCTGTACATGCTCAAATACTTATTACACATGAGGACAAGGTGTGCGTACATGACATTTTCCCCTCATTTCCTCTGGAGAAAACAGGTCCATAGGACAAGAAGAGAGACAGAACAAGATCATCCCTTCTGAGCAGCTGAGGAACAAGTCTGTAGGGTTCACCATTGAGTATATTTTTCTTGCCATCAGGTTACCCCAACTATTCCCATTCAAGGACATTCCTCAGCTAATGTAATAAATGTAGGTATCACTACCAAACATATTTCACAGTATATAATGATGACAATCAGTGGAGCTCAGAACCATAAAGACTGCAGTGAAGAGATTTTTTTGCTACTTCAGGACATTGTTAACTAACTTTGCCAACACTGTTGTTAGATAAAAACAACAGCAGGAAACTGGATATGTAGACCTTTCAGAAATGCAATATATCTATGGTTTCTGTTATATACCCTTGCCTGTGTTACCAGAACCGCTTTCCCTATACATGTAGCTGTTAAAATGCTGACAAAGTATTTTATATGCGTGCTCCGTACTACACTACTAGTCACTCTAGCCACATAAAATGTATAGTCTATGTTGGATTTCTCCAATAGTCAGAGGATCTGACTGAAGCAAAAACTGTCCAGTTGCAATAATCGTTTGAAGAAAAGTATGAAAGCTAATTTCTTTTAAAATTGCAATTAAAAAAAAAAAAAAAAATTACTCTTCAGTGTCTAGGGTTGCAAATTTTTCTGCATTTCTGGGAAAAACTTTCTGTGCCTCAGAAAGCAATCCTTGTCCTTACCACATAGGAGCTTAGCAATACAATCACAACATGAAAAATAATATGACTATTAGAAGACAAGAAACAATTTTTCAAGTCTGTTCAGAAATGCTTTCTGTATTAACATTGATTGTTTTGCATATTAATCTATTTAAGGATTAGAACTAAGCAGATCACTCAATGTGTAGCACCCTCCAGATGGTGCCATCAGCAAGCATCTTCCTCAGAGCATGAGGTATCTCAGCATCACTTCTGGTCTTCCCACTCCAAGGCAGCCCAGTACTTGGTGGGCATTGGAAAAAAAAACTCCTTTTACTTAATTTCCTCCACATTAGAACAAGGAAAATACATTCCTTTTTAGCTATGCTTGTCAAAGAGTAGTCCCCCTATGTCCACCATAAGCCTTTGCTTGCCACTGGAAGTTGTTCCTTCATCTGGATCCCCAACGCAATGAGGGCAGCCCTACTGTGTAGAGCAAGGGGACACAGGCAATACTTAAGAACTGTTTACTTTTAGGTAAGAGGATATGTAATGGAAAGGTATTATGAAGAAGCAGAACCAAGCATGGATCTGGCACACTTGGAAGAAAAAAGAAAGAATATTTTTTACAGAGAAGCTAGTGGTACTTTTCCACTTAGTCAAACAAAGCAGTAATCTGTATCAACCCAAGCAAAGTGAGGTGAAAAATTTTGTAGAGACACCCCTGTTAAAAACTCAGCAAAAACTATCTCCTCTGATTGCATGAGGAGTTAGTCCAGACATTTTTATCTTAGAAGAAACACCCTGAAACCTTGTGAATGCATTTTTACTCATGGAAGAGAACACTCTGTTACTCTTCTTTAAGGCTATTTTCAAGATGCTTTAGGTATGAGTCTTCCCAAGCCGTCAGGGGCATTTTCAGCGCTGGTTTCTGGTGGGGAAATAAGTCTCTGCTAAGGACACCAGCATTTCATTAACATACATCAGGTCTGAATTTGGCTCAGGTTAATATTTCTGACAAGATCCAGACATATATATATAAATGCATGCTGACTCCTGTTCATTCCAGACTAAGTAACATTTTGTCCCAGTAACAATCCCAGTGATTTTACAAATTGAGAAGTCATCTATTATTCATCCCCAAAATAACTTGTTTCCTGTGATAATGGGTATTATCAAAATCAGGTCAAATCCAAAACTAGGTGCGTTTTGTTAGGATTAAAATCTGAAGTTATTTGTTTTAATTTAACTTTTTTTAATTTAATAAGATGAAGTTTCTGTATAATTTTATTGTATCTTCAACTAATTATTTATTCCAATGTGTTTGGAACTAGTGGTCAAATGAAAATATTAATTATAACCCTGTAGTAAAGGTTTCCTTGAGAAGCTATCTGAAAAATAGGAAATAATTACTGGGATTGTTTGTTGTTTTTTTTTTTAAATTCAATTTTAAGGATCATATTTTAAAAACTGAAATCACTTTATGGAAAGCAGACATACCAGAAAATATTGTACAGTGTACAAATCATGACATCCTGACAGGGATTAGTGGAGCACTGGGGAATGCTAGTGCTTAGTTTGTATTGTGCAAGAGTTATGTAACGTATCTCTAAGTGTTCTGTCAGTGTAAAAGCATGTTAGCCTGATTTTTAGAGAATTAACAGGGAACATACTGAGAATAGTTATTTCATGGCTGTGGAATTCAGTTTCACTGTTTACAGTTCTCAGTTGTGTTTTTCATTTTCGTAGTGGCTCTCACCCCACTTTCTGTGAATTTTCTAAATATGTTGCTCATTGACTAATGGAAGTATTTGTGAACTTGTTTGTCAGTTTGAAATCAGCTTTTGAGGTACATTTGTTTTACAGACTGTTGGCTTCTTCTGTGCCTAACCGATGAGGAAATAAAGCTTTATTGTGAAACGTACATTTTGATGGCTTTGTACTATACTTTTTGCATTGAAGGAAGAGGAGGCTGATCCAGCCTTGTCTTAGTACTATTATAAGTGTGAGTGGGCTTGCACAGGCCGTGGATTATCTTTTTAAAAAATCTCTATCCAAAAGCTACAGAGGTAATAAGGAACTAACAGTCTTCCTTTCTTCTTCTCTCTGTAGTTTGTTGCTCAACCCAACTGCCAGCAGCTGCTCGCATCCCGCTGGTACGATGAGTTCCCCGGATGGAGGAGGCGACACTGGGCTGTGAAGATGTTGACATGTGTTGTGATAGGACTCCTTTTCCCAGTCTTCTCTGTGTGCTACCTGATAGCTCCCAAAAGCCCATTGGGGCTGTTCATCAGAAAGCCATTTATCAAATTTATCTGCCATACTGCATCCTACTTGACTTTTCTGTTCCTGCTGCTTCTTGCCTCTCAGCACATTGACAGGTCAGACTTGAGCATGCAGGGACCGCCACCAACCATCGTCGAGTGGATGATATTACCGTGGGTCCTGGGTAAATGTATTACTAAAGAAAATACAGTGAAAAGTGTTTTGACCTCTGTGATTTTGCCAAGCATTCCTGAGGCAGGAAGATACAGTAGAGAGTCTGCCATGATTTAGGGACATGGTTTAGTGGTTGACTTGGCAGCGCTGGATTAATAGTTGGACTTGATGGGCTTAAAGGTCTTTTTCAGCCAACTGTTATTCTACTGACCTACCAAAACAACCAAATGTCCTCTGCTACTTAGCAAGAGTAGTAGACAACTTGGGAAGAGTGTAAAAAAAAAGAAGAGTATCACCACCTGTTATATTACAGTGAGGGAAAGCAAAAGATATCAGGGTTTCTTCCCATGATTAAATTAATTCTGATTCTTCTAAGTTCCCATTTTGTATTTATTTATTTATTTATTAAAGTGGCCCTTTGCCATCATAGTTATTTTTCATGTATTAGAATGAGACACAGTGTCATTTCTGGAGTGTTATTGTTAACCTTAGTTACCTGAGTATGCCTCTTTCTAATATGACAGATGCATCTATTGCAAATAGTGGTGACTTGCATTTTCAAGTCAGTATTTTCATTGAAATACACATGCAGTGCAAAGCATTTGATAAGAACTAATCACTCACTGAAAATATTTTACATCAGAAGGAATAAGAAAATCCCATAGCATTTTTCAAAGAGGAGGAAAGATTACCACTGTCTCAAGAGTTTAAAATAAAAATTCCAGTGCAGGATTATTGAAAGCCTGCTTTGTGGGCCATGTCAGCCTTAAATGTCTTCCTGTGTGATTGCTCCATCCTATGGGATTGGACTGTCCTAGGTGCTCCCTACCTTTGCATGTCTCCCCTGCCAGACAGTATCTCTCTTGGTGTGCCATGGTCTTTTCTTCGTTTCTTATTTTAGGAACCGACACAATTTGGACCAAGTCAGGCCAAATATACTTGGTCTTGACTGAAACAAAATTGTAGAAGGACAGCCTTAGTAGTCTTAACTGCAAGAATTTGTTTGTCTTCATTTAAATTGTCAACACGTAGACAAGTTCATGCACAAGCCTGTTTGAAATGTTTCGCTGGGATTTTAATACTGTTACCTCTCCCAGAGCTTCCACTGAAATGCTGTTTCTCTTCAGTTTTGCAACTTTTCCCAAACACCTGGCTTTTTTTTAGACCAAACTGACAAGACATTTGACACCATTGATAGTGTAAAATTTAAAATGCATTGTTGAATTTTTAATACATTAACTGGCAGTGCCTAATGTTCCAGGGAAGAATGAGTCAGTGGCTTTTCCTCTTTATGTTCCTTGATAGAGCACTATGGGAAGCAGGAGGCAGGGCTACATCTGTCTTTCACTTAAGCAAACAATCATGCATGACTGAAAGTTCTGTGTACCCTTACTTGTTGAGAACCTCTCAGAGGGACCTGCCTTCCACACATGAACTGCTTTCTGAGATTTCTCCCATGACAGCACAGCATAAACCAGCCCTCACTACCAGCCTTCACTGTAAGGTGTGCTGTCTTCTGCTGGGTGAATATTGCTCCTAACATTAAAAAAGCCAATATCTTGTTATTGCAAAGAATTAATCAGTCTGGAAGGCTGTTTATAATGAGATTTCTTACAGACAAGTAAAACTAACTTAAATGGTTAAGATTCACATTTAAATATTAAAAATAGAATCCTTCAGTAAATTTTCCCAGGTTTGTACCATCAAGAAATAATAAATCAGTAGAAAAATCATTAGTTTGATATATTATTTCCTCAGAAGTAAATCTTACAATGCTGTGGAGGAACAGGGGGCTCTTCTGTGCTGTCCCATGCCCAGAAGAGATACTAGTAACTCTTCTGTCTGGCCTTCCAAAACAGCAGCTTTCACGGTATCCTGGGACTGAAGGATAATAAAAAAAAAACAACATAGCTGACACATAGACCTTAACACACCAAAATCAGTTTCATCGTTAACCTGCCTTTTTAAAGAAAGAAGTTAGAGCCCAGATAAAAATACAAAAATTGAGAAGGGTAAGGGCTAGTTTCAGCTAAAGGCAGTTCTAAAATTTTGGTGACTAACTCTGCTTCAGAAAACATGCAATGGGAAGAGGAAGAACCTCCGTTGCCCTCAACCTTAGGAAAGGGTTTAAGTAACTAAACATCTCAAAGCACTTGTTTGAAGAATTCATTAACCCTGAGAATTATGACTATTAAGATGACTATCATTTCTAAAAGCAACATTAATATCTGCAGTATAGAATCATATGGCCAGATTATGCCAGTACTGCTAGTGCTGAATAAGCCCTTCTTCTGCAAGCAGTACAGGTCAAGTCAAGGGAACTGCTTGCATAAACAAATTTAAATCATCATGAATAAAGATCAGTAGTCAGATACTATGTGGTCAAATACCTTGTGGTTAATCCAGTCTGTAATGTCCAGAGAAACTGCCTTCCAAAATTGCTGGCATCTAAAATGGTGTATTTTACACACTGATTTCCAGTGGTTCATAACTAGTGGTTTCCTGTAGTTCCTGTTTCACATTACCTGGGTTCAGCTTTCAGATGTTGTTGGCTCTAGTGCCTTACCTCACCCAGGGCCCAGATTCACCCGTCATAATCTCAGGCAATTCATCAGGGATGTAAGTTCCTTTTGTCATTGAAGGAGACAGACACATCTCCATAGGACACTTCAGTGTGGTATGTGTGATGAACACATCTATTTCAGCTTTTTTTAAAAGGAATTAATCTTGGGCAAAACCTGCTGGTTTTATATGCAAAAACATATAAACTGTGGTCTAGTCATATTTTGATAAACAAAATAGTTTTGATAAGTCCTTACAAATTATCTAAGGTTAGTCTCCAAGCCATAATTTAGTCTGTCATCTCATCTCTTCAAACTGTATGGTTATGCAGTATCCTTAAAGAGAGCAAATGTAGCACACAATTCAATTACATAAGGGAGCCTAAATCTGAGGCACATAGATATATCTTTGCATTTTCTGGAGGTAGATGAAAAATGTTGAAGTCTAAGACAAAAAACTAATGTGTCTCTAGTGTCACAGTTTTTCTATGAAACTGGAAACATGAACAAGTAAACCCTTTTCCCAAAGCAAAGGTTATCGTGGAGGAGCTACAGCATGTCAAAACTTTTAACATTTTAAACAATAGAATTCTGTATTTGTCTTTCTCTTAAGTCAAAGAGCTCTGCATAAAATTTGCATTTTAATAGCTACCTCCCTTAAAATTTTGAAAGAGGAGATATACTTTCCAGGCTTCTCATCAGCATATGCATATTTCATAGAATTTAAGAAGTTTCAAGATTGTCCATAACGATCTAAGCTCCCCAATGATCAAACTGCAATTAGCATTTACCTACTACTACTTAATAGAAGACCAAATGTGCATAATTAGAACATATTAAAAGTATCACCAGAGTAGGAGGCTCAGAGGAAAAAACCTGCATTGGGCTACATTTCCATGGAGACTATCAATTTTACATTTAAAATGTATTTTAAGGAAACTTCTGCATTAATTTTGTCTTTTACATGATTAGATGATTACACAAGTGGTGTTACAGTGTGTGGTGATTATCCATGGAACAAGTCAATTTAACAAAGATAATGTTATAGCTTTAAGAAGTAGTTGTGGAAAAAAACCTCTGGGTAAGAAGAGTCGGAATCTTCTGTCCTTGCATTTAAACAAATAAGAAAAACACTTATGCTGGTAAGAAAAATTAATTTTGTTTGTCTTATTAGTTTTAGATTCAGGTATCCCAAGCATGCCAGATACTTCATACTACAGAAATACAGGTCTTTTTCCAGTACTTGAAAATCCATCACCACTGAAAAAAAAAAAAAAAAGGACAGGAAAACCAAGAATCTCATCTAATGAAAAAAAGTGAGGAAGGACAGTATTATTTATCATCAAATTCCCCATCCACTTGTTTAGTAGCCTCTGAGCATGGTAACATGGTAACACTGATACAAAGGGAAAATTAAGACCCAGCCTCATCCTCTGTGTGCCTTGACTGCAGCTCAAATAAGGATCATATTGATCTCTACAGACTTGACATGTTCTCACAGTGGGCATTTGCTTCACCGAGGGGTGCCACAAAATTCAGAGGAGAAAGCTAACAACCAAAGTTGGTGTTCAGTGGATGTGGTTTAAAAGTTTCCTGCCAGTTGTTCAGGGAGAACAAAAAACATTTTTAGGAAAATTTGTTCTAATGAGTTTTTTGCTCTTTTATGGGCATCTTTAAATGCTCATAATAATTATATTGTTCAGAAGACTGCCTGGGGCAGGAATGTAGCCGTACTAAATCTCTTTAACAATGTGTTCCCCATCCTTTCTGTCAGAGTGCTTTATGCTATTGGAGTATGAGGAGCGGCAGAGAATGTGGATGTTTGGGAACTGTGCAGCCTGCAGACATTTGTGGTGAGCAAACTGCTGGTGGGATGTTTGGGAGTGTACAATCCTGTCCGTACTTAGCACAATGTACAACCAAGTGGATGGCACAGCAAGGTGCTTCAGAGCATCACAGAGGTGGCAAATACACTGTGTATCATCTTCTAAATTTGGTCAAGACAGTGTCATGTAAAAAATTAAAGTTATTACAAATTGACATGATCCAGGGAGCAGAGATAAAGGATAATAAGGACAGAAAGATGGAACGGTACATAACCAGTAGTGAAAAAAGAAGTGCACAAGAGGAAAATACCAGACAAAGTTAGAACAGAACTTCATTTAGAAAGGAGGGTAATGCACATAATGACTGCTCAAGGCTGCTTAATCCAAAGTGCTGCTCAGCAGAGGCTGACTGCAAAGATAGATCAGATTGCTTAGGTCCTTGTCCAGTTGATCTTGAATTTCTACAGGGATAGATATTCCACTGCCTCTCCCAGCAACCTGTGCCTGTGTCAAGCCACTGGTGAGCTTTTTTCCTGGTATCAGCTGGAATATCCTATGCCACAACATGCAACCTTCACCTCTTGTGTTTCCAGTGTGTAGTTCCAGGACAAGTCTGGCTCAAT